CACGCCCCGATATAAATTACATTATGTCGCACCATAATGTTCGGTTTCATGGAAAGAGCGTATTTCAAAGTACTTCTGTAACAAAGGGATGAAAGGGACCATTCCTGATAACAGTTCATTTGAAAAAGATCGTGAAAACCAAAAGCAGACAGGTTAGCGTACGGAGTCAAAGTGGCCGCGAAAAGAAGAAACGTAACCGGTCATAGGTGAGTCATGGACAATAGAAAGACTGGATAGGAAACTGGCTGACGCGATCGTTTCCAACATAGTGGAAAAATGTGACGTCACATTATCGAGAGCCATTCAACCTCATTCGACGTTTTGCGCGTCTTATGTTTCCTCGCATATTTCACTCTCTCTGTCTTCGACTATAAATATTGGCCATGTTTTGAAATAAAGGATGAAGAGGACTTGCTCTTGGAGAAGACAGTTAGAGGGTACAGAACCGGTAGAGGCGAAAGACAGAGTAAACGATTATGGAACTTGTGAGAGCGACGAATGACTCTAGCGCCCGATAATTTTGTGCGCCAAATGGGAAGCCTAACTACATAAAAAGTGTGCGAAAACTTGCATGTATACAGCTACAAAACACCTATAAAAAAGGCACAGCCTAATTTTCTTCAAACCACAAGAAAACCGGAAATAATTTTAACCCTTGTCATCAGGCTTTTCACGATTTCTTTTCTGCTTTTGTCGATAAGCTCAGCGAGTGTCAAATTTTATAAGCTAAAAACCCTTGAAAAAATTATTTTATTAGCGGTAAAAGTACCCAGCTCAAACAAGCGTTTACTTTTCCCTTCAATTTTATTTACGCCGGACAACCAGTGGCAAGAAGTCGTATTTGAGAAATATAAAAAAGCGGGGTAAAGCTCACAGCAGAGAAAGGAAATTTGCTTGCGGACCACCGTGGAAAAGCCGTTTCTTAACTTTTTCTAATCAATTTTTATTGTGAAGCAAGTTGTTTTGTTATTTTCAGGTATAAATGTATAGTGACCCAAGGTACTTGTCAGTCAGGTCTTTGAAAAAGCGAACTCAACGCTTTTAAAAATGTTACGCAAAACGGTTAAGAGTTGATGTCAGTAAGGATCAAAGATCGGGCGGACAGAGCTCACAATTTGATTTCGCCTATACTTTGTACATTGGTAGGCCCACGTACTATACATATGAAATCAAGGTTTATTTGGCTAAATATTGTTTAATTTCAAAGAAATTTGATTTTAACTGTAAACGGTATTTTTCGTCGTAATAACCTTGAAAATTGCCAACTTTCACGAAGTTATTGAGTCATTTAGTCGATTGTTTTAAGATGTCTTCACGGATATACAGTTAATCTAAAGCTATTTCAGTCCACTGATTCCCAAAACAACTCGCTAACGCTGCTCACAAAAAATATATGATTTTTTAAAGAAGCACACCAACATCCTTCTCGAATTTGGTGCAATGGCTGGTCAAAACAACATGTCAGAAATGCCCGCGGTACGCAACGAATCACACCAGAAAACCTTTTGGTATTCTTTAAAAGGATAGTTTTAACTTTCTACAAGCTTATATTTTTGGGATCTTTCGTACTTTTTTGACAAATACTTCTTAAAGTGAGCACAATTCCACCTTCCGCCATCTTGGAATGTCTTACATTACCGAAACAGGCGAAACGGAAGTCACCGCTACGGCATCGAACGGTACATATTTTTTCACTTCTTTTGACTAAAGAATCTCCCATAAGCTTTAAGATGAACCAAATTTACCTGTAATCAAGTCCAATGTCAAGAAAAAGCAGCAAGAAACGCACCATACTTCGGCGATTACTGTCTACAATCGTAGTCGGCAAAGACTAAAAGTGACTCCGTGCTGTGACTCGGGCAACGTTTGGACTTTGACGCTCTTCACTGAGTCTCACTTGTGTACCCTTCGCTTGAGCTTTCAATACTCATCCGTTTCAATTTTAGTTTTGATAAGTCTCATTCCATGGGCACTTTTAACTCTCCATCCCGCATCTCGTATAACAATATTCCATTTGTCACGCAATATGTGTGACAAATGAACCGGAAATGAAATTCTCCTCAAACTCCTTTTCGGCATTATAAGAAACTTTCCTGACTTAACAAAGTGAATCCTTCACTAAACCGGTCTAAATCAGAGGCTGCAATTTTTAAATTAAATTTATGTGGGTAAATTAAATGATCTCAACTTTAACTATAATCACACATATATCTAGAAATATCAAACCGAAACTAATACCAACATTTTTTTAGAAATGACAAGGGGGGAAAATATCCCACAGTGGCCTGCAGTCGGGGGGGAGGGACTAGGTGCAGCTGGAATTGATTGATGCATTAGGGCATTGCATTTTGCCTGACCCGTGGTCCCTGAAAACTTAAGTTATAATCACGTATTTTTACAACCTCGTTCCCAGGGTTCTCTCCTACCCGGTAGGAGAGAACCCTGGGAACAAGGTTGGTGTTATAACAGGATACAAGCTTACAATTTCTTAGCTCGATTGTTCTAGTCGATTACACTCGAGCACAAGAGCACTCCTTAACGACCTGCGTGATACGACTTATAAGTGGCTTTTTTCGTTTTTCCGTGATATCATCCACGTTTAAGCCAATATCTTCACAAATGTCCCTTAGCACTGCAACTGTTAAGGTAGATAATTTCTTTGTATGAACCAAACTGCAAATGTTACGGGAAAGGGCGACAATGGGGTGACGTAAAGCAATTTCTTCGCTGACAACTTCCTTTAGGTGCGAATGTAAGGCCTCTGCCTCGACTGCACACTGCCCTTCGTCTTCACTTCCACTTTCTTCGTTCGATGTTGCTGACGTTTTTCGAATCCTTGCTGCCAGTCTTGAGAAGAATCCTGCCACCTGCTGTGGCGAAAGAATATCCTTTCCACTGAAAATACGAGCAGCCTTTTCGTCCCTCACTCTTCGCATTTCTTGCGATACCTGTTGTGGATCTGCCTTTTTACCACACTCCTCCCCGATGAGAAACTGTTCTGTGAGGAACTTTCTTTGTTCTTCTGTAAACTGGGTTCTACTCCTTGTAGTTTTACGAGCCCATCCCATCTCAAGTGTGGAATGTAGTTTATCAACTGAGATTTTTGATGTCGTGTAGAAGCCAAAAGTTGGAACTTTCGTTTGCTCTCCAGTTATTCTCGCAGCGTATCCTTTTCTGGCTTTGTCAAACAGTGTTTCTTTTTCTAGCGCGCGCTTGTGCTTTCCTTCGTCTAAATGTGCTTGCAAACTTGAGGACCGCTGGAATGTCTGAATACACCCATCTTCTGGGCAGGTAAAAAGGCCGCTTACTTCCTCTTTCTCTTTTTCTACATCCATGTCTTGTCCTGCTGTCTCTTGCTGGTCAGGACTACTCAGCCGTTGTTCGGACAAAGATTTTTGCTGCACTTCCTTTCTAGGATTGATTTTTCTAAAGCTTGACTACTGAGAGCGGGTATCAGGAGGCTCCAAAACTTCAAGTGTAGCAGGAAAGATACCATCGGTTTGAATGTCCTTCCATGTTACCAGCTTTCCGGGCCCGTTGTTATAAGCCTTCCATGTTGTGATACCATTTGGACAAAACTGGAAGTTATTAAGCGTACTAATTCCGTCCCATTTGATCACGTTTTTGGCAGCAGATAGTTCGGGAGGCTTCACATACTTCACAATAACCCCAGGAATACCGCCATTTGATTCAATGGCTTCTTTCATCTGTGCAGCGTTGTTCACATCATGCCCCTCGTTTAAGTACACATTGATATGTCCTTTAATTGTTGCGGCCTGGCGGTCGGCTTCTCCCTTGCCCCCTTGTGGATCTGAAAAGTCGAACCTCTCCACCTTGACATCAGAAAGACTGTTCAACCTGCTTCCTACAATTGTTGACCCATAATGATAACATCCTGCGTTGTCCTGTTTGCAATACACTTTTTGCAGTTGTGGCCGACGCTCCTTTAACATCTCGATAACATCTTGTAAAATGGCGGTTACTACAACGCTATCCTGAGGGCAACTCTGAAGCAGGTGGACAAAAGTGAGCTTCTCAAGCGGGGCATTTGCTTCTGATCTTGTAAAAGCCACTGTGATGTACCATGGAATACCACGTTTGGCGAACCAGTCACACTGTGATTCGCGAAACTTTCGCGGTAAGAGTTTCATTGCCCAGTCCATAACTAATAATGCTGAACTCCGACATATGACATCTAACACGTCATGTTTTGCTTGATCCTGGTTAACTGTTCGGAGTTGGTGAGCTTTCCATGCCAAAATGTCCTTTTCAGCTTGAGCCACTAAACAGATACTGTCATCTCTTTCTTCTTCAGACTGAAGTTCTGCGCACGCTTCTTTTATGGTAGACAGCACCCCGGTTAATTTATTGCATTCGTAGCAGACCTCATCGTGGTTATGGTTACACTTTCCTTGAAAACAACTATTTTTAGGATCACTTAGGGAAAACGTTAAATAGTGATCTGCAACTTCTGATTCCATTGTAACGTGCACCTAAAATGTGAAAGATTATTATCGTCATCATTATCATAGTTATCACTATCATCATAATTTTTACTATGATTTTTCGTTATTAATATCAGCTGCTTTAGGGTAAAATCTTTTAAAACTAGTAAAAGAAGTTTGAAACTTATTAAAGCTTGTTCGAACCGCTTAAAGGGCGCAAATTGAAGATAGCTTCCGCTTAATCAATGTTTCGAGGTTTAGCTTCAATACTAGTTAGTACAATGCAGCCAGAGAAAGTTGACTTTCATGTTTATGACCAATTCGCTTAAATTTAGCGTCAATCCAGCCAAAGTACAAAGTTAATAATCTGCTAAAAGAATAACCAAATATCAAGACAGCCTTACCTTGTAATCAGACCGCAGATATTGTTTGGCAGACCGAAGTGTTTGTTTCATTTCCTTGGCCCAGGCTTGTGACTTTGCTTGATCTGCTATCTTGTCTACTATATATCTCGCTAAGATCTTCTATTGCCTTACTGCCTTGTGCAGAGAAGTTCTAAAAGCCCTGCAGAGAGGTGCGCACTGACGCAGAGCAAACGTCTAGTACTCGGAGTTGTGTGCGCTTGCTCATCGGAGTGAAATTGGTCTCGGTACAAAACTGAAAATACTGTCGTGTTATCCGTTCTGGTATTAGCATCCGTACGACGTTAGGTGTTTTAATCACCTCCCCTGTTGAAAGTTTCAGCATCTTTTCTCCAAATGGCATGTCTTGTACAATATGGGAACTTGTAATAAAGTCGAGAAAATGATCAACTCTGGCAAAATCAACCTTCATACGCCTAGTGATATCAGTAGGTACGATCGCACCTCTACCATGTAACAGTCTATGATGCCGCGCGATGTTAAATCTGTAAGGCGTCACCCCGGGAATGTAATGCGTCAGTTCCTTAAGCGATAGTTTATCTGCCAAGATGGACAAAATTTGTCTTCTCGTGCTCCAGTGAGTTGCGTTTAAATAGCTTTCTGCTAAGGCTTCTAAAATTTCTTCTTCGGCTTGTGTTCTCTCAGCTGGTAAGCTTTCACCTAATGTGGTCAATAATTTATCACTTTGTCCTGGAGAAATTACTTCAAGAACCTCTTGAACACTTTGTTTTACGTTACGGCTGTACCTTCTCTTTGTGCGCTCGTTAGCACTTTCCCATGGAACGGACAACTTATGTCGAACAGGGCTAACATCACGAGAGGCTAAAAAATCGTTTAACTTTTTTAAAGGCTCTTTTGCCGTGTCTACTTGGCTTCTATGCGGTGTGTTCTCAAAATCAGAACCTTCCAAATCCGATTCTGGGATGAATATACTCTCTCTTCTTTCATCAACATGAATTACTTGGGCTGCTGCAGTTTCTGCCTAAAATTTCACAAAATTAAAAAAAAAATTCAAAAGTCTGAAGTAAGACCCCAAAATACTTCTTCTTCCAGTTTCGTTGTTGTCAGTACAAACATAAAACAGTTTGAACGTACTCAAAATTGGATTCAAACTAGCTGCGTACGGTTTCTAATATTACAAGGAAAGAACTTTGTAGTTTGTAGACGCAAATCATAGAATGTCATACTTACCAGAGTAAGCTCACCTAGATGCTCTGTAAGTTCGTCAAAATCTGATTGTGGCAGGCTGCTTTCAGGGGTATGTGCTTGTTTCGTCAGGTTCTTTCGACACTTAGTACAAATCGCTAAAAAAATATAAAAAATTACAAAAATGTTAACCCACTTTTTTTATATTTTCTCACCCGCACTTGCATTTCTGATTTCTTGCTATGCCATTTATCATTTTTACACATGCCCCTCTCTCATCGTTTTCTTTTTCGACCTTGGTTCAGCGTATCGCTCGGCTGTAATTCTTACTTTGCAAACCACAAAAGAAGAAAAAAAACACACATCAAAAAACCGCCAGCTACGTAGACTATATGCGAGGCTACCCTTCGAAATCGGTAAGGCGCAGCTTGGCTCCTTTCCAGAAATGGCGCCGAAATCACAGTTCTTGAGTGTGAACAAAAGCCCTATCCCGGGTTTGGTTTTCTTGGCGGAACAAAGATATCTTGCATAGTGTGAACATAGGGTTAAAGGCCTGTTTATGCGAAGTGAGCCAGCCCGATTAGCCCAGCTTGCCTGCTTTATCCGGCTGGCTCGGCTTATACCCTGTGTCCTTATAAAATTTTTGCTATGTTTATATGAGAGACCAGGCTGGCGAGATACTGGTTGCCTGAGGAGAGATTTCTGCAAGTGGGTAAGTCCGGCTTCATATATTAACAAAACGGAAATTTTAAAGGGAACCAAGGTATTAGCCGAACCATTCCAATAAAACGGGACAACCCAGCTAACTGAACTGACTCACCATTTTAACGACGGCAGAGATATGTTTGATGTGTTATATGACGTCATACGTTATGACCAAATGTTTTACTCCCGCAAGTAGTACAAAAGAAGAAGGATTATATTTACCTGAACCAACTGGAATGAATTCACCAGTGGCTTCCAATATGTACTTCGACTGAGCCAAGCTACAACCCCGCTCGGCATTTTTCTTGGATTCTTCACTGTGTCCAGAGAGTTTGCCTGGAACACTGCATACCCGCTTAGACCTTCGCCACCCAATACCCAAACTAGCGCGGTGCAGTGGACAGATAGTCATGTCGTGGATATTTTCTGGCGTTTGGAAACAACCACTGCGGGCTAGAATAAGCTCAATTTCCGTTTCGCAGCCACTGAATTGAAGCTGTTTTTTGTGGCTCGATATATTCTTTGAGCATGATACCAAGGGTACGATTTTACGCGACGCAGTCTTTGATTTTGGATCAGCCCCGCATTCTCCACCGACCAAAAGTGAGAAGGTACACGCCATCGCTCAATATTGTAAGTCAACGTTTACGTTTAACGATTAACTCGGCGCTATTTTACTTCCTTGAGAAATTTACGGTGAAAATTAGTTTTTCGGAGAGAGACTTGTAGACTGAAACAATGATAACACAATACTGGTTGAAAATACGCCAAAGTAATTTAATTATCAAGTGCTGCAAACGTGACTATATTTTTGATGCATCTTGTTTATGCCAGTCTCAATCCCAATTTTCATTTTAAGGGCCTTTACGCCAGTCCAAATCAAAGTTTTCTCAGTTTTGAAGGGATCTTTCGCCATAGATTTTTTATTGTTTCAGTTTAAATGCCGTGTTGACAACCGCGAAGTCGCGATGTACTATTTACACAGGTGTTCTGTATTTGCATAATGGCTTCGTGCGGTCAAAAAAAAAAGAGTTCGTGAAGTCCTTTCCTCTAAAGGAAACGGAATATATAGCGGAGCTTTTCAAAGCGGAAATCGCTCATACGTTATTCGACGTTATGTGAAGTCTAATAACGTTGTCAAAGGTCGGTGCGTGACGTGTAGGAAATCAATGTCACGATATCATGCATGGAGTCTCAATCCTATAAGCCACTGCCAAAGGAAAAAATAACGGATTCCCATTTTTGGATATTTTAGGGTATTTAAAGAATACCCACAAATATCCGAAATTTGGCAAAGTGAGACAAGTTCCAATCAGGGAACTTGGTTGGGAATTCCATGGTTGGGACTTGTCTCACTTTGCCAAATTTGGGATTTTTATGGGTATTCTTTAAATACCCTAAAATATCCAAAAATGGGAATCCGTTATTTTTTCCTGTGATATATATAATTAATATATATATAACGTAAGGGCAGCGACTTAGTGATATACCTAGCTAAATCTCACTTGCACTTATAATTTTAGACTCAATTAATCCAAAAGTAATACGATTTTGTACGGTACTTTCTCGCAGTTTCAATATGGCGGTCATCGAAAAATCTTGCAAATTAGCAATCTTCGGGGCAGTCGTATCGAAAAACTGAAAAAGATCCCAAAGAAATGAAAATGAAACATAAAACATCTATCCTTAAACTGTAGAGGAAGCTTAGTCTGAGGATATATTTTGGCGTACCGACCGGATTTTTAGGCAAGTCTTTTATGTCACTTTAGAGCGATTCAGAAAAGGCAACGAAGTGCCTTCAACGAAAAGCTCTCTACGAGTCATATAAAATAAATTATCAGTCATTATAGACAATATTTAATTGACCAAGGGACAAGCTATTTATTCATAGTAAGAAATCATTTATAGGCTTTACCCTGCAAACTTGAAAGAGTCACGAATATAGTAAAATTTCGGTTCATCAAAGAGGTCATTTTGGTGCAAAACGGACCCAACCGATTTTATTTAATTCCCCTTATGAACGCAAACATTAGACAGAACTAACCCTATTTTGTTAACTACGATACAATACTCTATCAATGTAAAAAGTATCAGCGAAAACGAATTTTGAGCTGTGTCCGTGATTTTGGGATTATCTCCGATTCTTACTGACATTGACTCTTAATTGTTAACTACTAGAATACGACTAGGAAACAAACCCTCCTGGTTAATAGTAGAACCTTCACTTCTTTTTCATTAGGAAACACTTGTCTTCGTCAAGGCTTAATAAAACGTAGAAATGTATTATCTTTGAAATACTGACTTTTTTTAGGATGAAACAAAGTTCAAGTTTTTGTGTAGTGTTAATGATATGGATAGGGAATACTGTAAATCAACTCTGAAATAAACATAAACACTGTTCCCAAAGAAAAATAGAAGCTGCTTATATATATATGAAAAAAAAAAAACCCAGTAACATCAGGGGTTATGGGGTTTTTGTTTAGTCTGAGGTAAGTGGATGAGGGATTGAAAAAATATGACTGTCTGGTCACATTATCATGTTGTTGAAAACAAAATGCATACCCCAAACAAGTACAGGTATATGTTTTATTAATTTGATTTAGAATATACCTTGGTAAGGTTTATCATCTACAGGTACATTGTTGCTTTGGATCTCTAAAAAACCGAATACAATAATAGTGCTAATCAAGTCCATCTTTGATTTGAAAAACAATGTGATTCAGATATAGACCGTTTCAGGGAAGAACACTAACCAACTTAAACACATGACTCTGTAGCTAATACAAGCACTGACCCTCAAACACAGTTAATTTGTCCCACTCACAAAGAAATAATAAATAAACTTCAAAAGTGATAAATAAAGTTTCTGATCATAAATAATTTAGATGCCACCTTCTGGCTCTCATGCATGACAAAAGCAAGTTTGTTGCTGTTTAATACAGAAAGATTGATTGATTTGTGCCCTCTCAGAGGAGTAGTTGACCACAACTTTACTGCCTTCATTGACTATGTGTTTTCAGCAAATCCTACAAGAAAGAAAAACAAAAGGAAATCTAAAACACTGTTTAAAAAATAGCAACAACACTTAGGAGCCTAAGCGGAGGACAAAACTGTCAGCAGGTGTTTTCCCATTGATGCAACAATTATTTATAGTTTATGTAAGGGAAGAGTACAAAGTTTACTCGAGTCTCTTCAGTGCCTTCGAATACAAGCTGCTAGGAGCGACGTGAGGCGATTGTATTCACTGGATATGTAATATAGTAGTTTTATTTCAACATTAAAAGATGTGCGAAATTAACACACTGCTTTACGAACAATATAGCAGCGTTAATCTAGGATATTACTTGAGCGAAACAGTTCTCAACACAAACTTGTCGGTCGATTGGAACTTTTAAACTTACACACCGTGTGCGTACACTTGCTCGGCGCCAGCTCCGAACGTAGTTAGTTTCAGCCATTTTCAAATGAAATTTATGGCTGTGCCTATGCCACAATTCCATCCTTAAAACATCTGTCAATCGTAGTTGAGAATAGAAACAAGAAGAAACCTTCATAACAAAGGCCTCCCAAAACAGTCGCCAAGTGTACTAAATATGGCTCTGGTAAGGTCAATTTTTGGGACGCAATTTTCTCAAAGACAAGGACAAATAACACAAAACAACAACAACAAGTGCTTACCTTGAAGTTTCAAGTGTGGCTTTGAAGGATCGTCTTCGCCGTAAGACAACAAACGAAGGAAAAAACACCCACCAAAAATTAAAGTACCACTAAAAAATCCGAAAAAGAACAACATGCAGGCAAAGAAAAACTACACTTCGACTGGTTTGCGCCACATTTTCGCCATCGTTTCGTCACAAATCTCCACTATGATGGAACCATCCAACGCCATCTTGGAGCACGAACCAAGCAATCGGCGGTAAGAAATCAGCCCACGTGACATAAGTTTCCTATCCAGTCTTTCTATTATCCATGGGTGAGTTTAGCACCTTCCTTAAAATTAACAAATCTAGCTAGGAAACAAATGCTTTTTTACGGTTAACTCTTTTTACCCTAATTACGGCTAACGGTTAAAATTTTTCATTTTTTACTGCTATCGACTAAAGTTTTGGCCGTTTTACGCCTATCGGTTAACCCCATTGAGACCCTCGGTCAATGGTTCACAAATAAATCCACATTTACTTCTGTAACATTACCTCCCTCTTTAATTTGAATCTCGCGATTCAATAAATATCCTTAGGTGATTGCGTAAAGATTAGTTGGTTAACTGTATACACAAAAAACGCAACGCTTTAGAAAGAATGTGGCGCTTCCTCGCCCTAATGTACGTCTTGCTGACCATAACTCTGCCTTAAAAACACCATTTATCAAAGTTTAGATCACAGTTACTAAAATCGACCGAAGTTTTTGGGGGAAAGAAAGAATAAGGAACACAGAATGACAAGCGTGTTCTTGCTAAGATGACTTGAGCAAGTCTTAGCAGGAATTTTATCATAATGATATAGAAATAGATGAGCATCAAAGGTCCTGGTGACCTTAGAGATAAATCATCCTTTTGTCCATCAGTTATAACCAGAGAACCAGCATGCCAGGAGGTACTTTTCGCTTTAGAAAATGCAATCGTTTTTACTCTCGTAGGAACAACCAATTGCAAATACGAGGCTTGGTGTTGAGACTGGGTTTGTTCTATTTTCGAAATCTCTTGCGAATTAAAAGACACTTTCACTGTAACGGCGTCAAATACTTGTGCTGCATAAACATTCTGAACATTCGTCCAGCTCAAAAACTTTAAATTGATCCAAGGAAATTCTTGAAAGGACGCGCCTTGTGTCTGTATTATATTCTTTTCTTCGAGGCTAACTTTGGGGGTATTAGAACTATTAGGAGCCGTAAAAACTTCAAAACAAGTCTCAAAAGACGAATTTGGATCAATTTCTTCATCAAAACCGCTGGCGATTCCGGTAAGTAGAGAATGGTCGTTCACTTCGATGTATTCGATCGTCCTAGTAGGGATTTGCAATTTGCTTTCACGCATTAGAGAACTCGGCCCGGTTGCATAAAACGTCCGTAACAACTACGGGTACACGTACGTGCACTCGTAACTTAAGTCAGTTGCATGAAATCACTTAAGTGGGCCACTTAGGGAATTCACTTAAGTGGTTGCACTTACGATTTTCGTAAGTGTTCACTTAAGTTTCGTTTATGCAACAGAAATTGCGGGTGTTGCATAAAACTTTTTTTACGGGAAAAATAGCACGTAAATTTACGGGACCTATGTAGGTCCCGTATCGTTACTGTTTTTACTAAATTTAACGAGATCTCTTACTGAGAGTGAAAAAAAGTAATTTTTCCTCACGTAATTCGTAGTAATGCGCTTTGTTAACCTTTTATCTGCACTTTAAAGCCGACTTTGTGAAAAAAGAATAAGAATTATCATTTCCAGTAGACATTGAAGAAAAATAACGATTGCATGCAAATTTCAGTTTTTTGGGAGGCTTAAACGTGTTCGAAACGACTTACAAATTTCTTTACACTCACCGATGGTTAGCTTAAAAAAAAAAAGAGTGAGTCATTAATAAAGTACTATATCAAGGTTACGTGTGCCCTTAAGTGAGCCCGTAAGTT